TCGTACCATTTGCGTCCTCAGCATGGTTTGATTCACCTCAAAACGAGTCGAGTTCATCACCAGGACCACCATACCACGTGACATTTCCACAAGGTCAACGGACAAACCAACCGTGTGACAACAAACCAACTGGGTCATCGGTGTCACAGATCCTCACTGTCCTCACTGTGCGTAAAGATGTCTGAGTATGTCAGGAGGGTATCGTCCTAAAATGATACGACTATGGTCAAAAACTATTAGAAACCTCGTTTCCAACCTATATTCGAGCTGTCCTGAGGCTGAAGCGTCAACGTCACCTGCACCGGGACGATGGAAACACTGGAAGTTGCTGAGATGGGAGCGGTCAAGCCGAGCCCCAGAAGGGACCACAGATTTTTAGGATATACGAAACATATGTTTCATATGAACAATCCAATTATTGGGGTACCCGATTTTGACCTACAGTATACCCCCTATACCCATGTGGTTCAACAGTGTACATAAGCAGGTTGGCCCTATGAATATCAACTGAAAGGTGATGTGTGTTGTCGCCTCTGCAAGATGAAAATATGGGTGCCTCCAATTACCAGTGTGGACATGATGGCAAAAAAATACTATTGCATAACTATACTATCTAGTGTACCATGTTATATCATTATATTGTATAACGTATAAACTATATTATATCATAACATATCATACTAAACTGAACTGAATTTATTGTGTTAGATTATATCATATGTATATATATATGGTATAGAATATAATATTACTTCAAATTTTACAATATATTATAATACATCTATAAGGTATCACTGTTATGTATGTGTATATATATAGCACACACACAAATATGTATTATATATATTATAAATATACACAATGTAAATAATATACAGTATAGGGAACAACATCCACCCACCTTGCCGTTCATAGGATGATCACTACATATTAAAATGGACCCGGCGTGGAGGAAAGGCATCCCCCAAAAGGAGGCCACAAAAACATCAAAAAGCTGAACACACGGAGAAAACATCATCGCACTACCAGGAAAATCAGGAAATACTAGAGTCGGCATCTGAATTGGATGTTTGCTATACTGTATATTGTTTGAACTGACCAACATGTCGTAAGAATCGACCTCTTTTTGGACATGACACCTCGATACATTTGACGCCCTAGTATTAACAGTAGAAAAAATCCCTAGTAGGAGGGGTCCCAACGTCAATCGACTTGGACGGTTAAAGTCTCACTAAAAAATAAAAACTATAATTGGTAGTGAAGGATGGTGAAAGTTCATTATGTAATTTGGGATTTTAGTGACCTAATCAGCCTAATCATCAATAAACTGCAGGGGTGTTGCGGCTTCGATGCCTCACGGCTGGAAGAGAAGTTGCCATGCTTTGATGGCCTTTGTTGCTGCGCATCATCAGTGGCCAATCCAAAACAGTGAGGATACAACATAAACTTTTCTGACAACAGGGTACTCTAAACCAGTGCTAATCAAAAGCTTCCCAAATAAAAATGGCAATGTTGGGAGTTCGGGCTAGAGTCTACCATTTTCATCCATTTTCAGACACCAACATGATCTTCATGATCATCCACTAGCCATCGTGGTTGCTACTTGAACTTGCCCTTGCGTCCTGGTCAATTTCCCATTTCAGCTACTTGCACTCCTCATTTCGAGTAGTTGAAACTCACCACTTCCTCATCATTGGTGCTTTTTTTTCCAAGTCCCCATATTTGTGCTACTTCAAACTTCCAATTTTGGGTAGCAAAACTCCCATATCAATTTTCAGTAGTAAACCAGCACTTCGCGATACCAGTAAGTTTTAGTATACTAAAGATTTCAAAATAGATCCAAATACCAATAAGTTAATATCATAAAAGGATCACATGTTCAGTAAGTAAACTATAGTAAACTCTCAGTGCCTGATGTGGAGGTTTCGTAAAATGGGGGTACCTCCAGTTCTCATCCATTTATAAATGGATTTTCCATGAAATAAACCATCCATTTGGGGGGTACCCTCCATTTATGGAAACCAACTCCCTGTTTTTTGCTCGCCAAAACCCTTCGCGTAAGGCTTAAGGGACTCTGCGGCGGCCGCTGCAAAAGCTCCAAAGGCGCCTGCCGAGGCGCCAGGGGATTGAAAAATGGGTGGGTTAGACATGAGGAAAGGATGGATTTTATAATCGGTGTTTCCATAAATGGAGGTACCCCCAAATAGATGGTTTATTTCATGGAAAATGCATTTATAAATGGATGAGAACTGGAGGTACCCCCATGACTTAGGAAACCTCCATATGGTCTGATGGGGTTTAAAAATGTTTATATAATGAATTACACAACCAACTTAATATGAAAATGGTGATGTAACATGGTGTAACCAACAACTAATAGGGCCAGGGTATTAACCTAGAAACATGTTGCTGTATCCAGGAAAACAAATCCAACAACAAATGTGGTTTCACCATCACCGACAAAGAAACGAGGATTGGTTGGCTGCTGCTTGTTTGCTTGCTTGTTTGCTTGCTTGCTTGATTGGTTCGTTGGTTGGTTCAACGACCATGTTGATGCGGATTTATTTTGGGGATATCAACCAAGAAAATTACTGTATATTCTGGGGTGTTCTACTGTACTTTCAAACGGCCCAGATACTAATCAAACAATATTTTTCAGTATCCATCAGGATATTAAACGAACAATAAGATGGCTGAATTGTCTCAAACACCCTGTAGAATTAACACATGGGGAATGTATATGAATGTATAGCATTATGCCAAATTTTAATGAAAACCACACTTACGTGTCCAACTTCATCCAGAAACATATATGGGGACACAACTTGAAATAACATATATATATATATATATATATGGGGACTAAATTGATGTGATAAACCCTAAACATCCCTAAAACATGAACCATCCCCATTTCAGAGGTTTACTGTTGGGTATACCACCATTTTGGATGGTATAAAATCTCCCCCGGTTGTTGGTTAAATTGGGGTTTACTACATTAGTGGGACTTATATAATTAATAATCATGGGCGTGTACCAAACCTGGAATTTCGATCCGTGTGTTAGGGCCGCATCCAATCATCCACAAGTTTGGACCTGCGACCTCTTCGACAAATTGGCAACTGATAAAAATCATGCGCACAAAATAACTTTTACATCAAGTGAGCCAATGCATCTTGATATCACCCAAAGATGTGATGACCAAGTAGAAAGCTGCCGTAGGTGCATGCTTGTTAGTTGATCCTTGAACTCTGTTCGTCCCTTTTTTGGCTGACAAGGACGTTTTCACGTTAACACCAGCTGGCCCATGAAACCATCGCAAGCCTGCAGTGCAAACGCTCACAACTTCCCGAAGCATCTTCAAATGAAAACGGTTCCTTTCATGCTTTTATATCAGGAACAGCAAACAATCATTCAACCAAAACCTCCTGCATTGTTCTACACACATCAAACATCATCGAACCAGCCAGGGCACATTACAATGAACTATTGATAACCATTCTTCAAACCTGAATTTTAGGCAATTTAATTTAACCTCCTAGCCATGAAGCTATACAGTATTTGATTTGTCTGAAACATGATGATAAACCAATGGATTGAAGGTGATGAGGGGTGGCGGCCATAAAATGGGAGTGTGTAAATTGGGAGTATACAGTTACTGTATACTCCAATTTCAGACACACCCAGTCAACCTTAAATCCTATAAAATCCTCATATGCCAAACATCCCACCACTATATTCCCGTGATATTACCAGTAGATTCCCATGGATTTTTCCCATGATTTGCACCAGTTGTCGGCAGTCGGCACCTGTACGTCCCATGTTTTTTTGCGCATGGAACTGATCGCTGGAAAAAAATGCGGAGAAGTTGTTGAGTTTCTTGGGCGGGTTTTCCCCTAGATAGGGGATGAATACTACAGAAGCTAGATCTTCAGTTCGTTGATTTGTTGGCTATTGTACAAGGATGCTTCGCAATGTCATGTCCTTGGCTGAAGCTGCAGCATCATCTCATGAAGAGTCTGTTTCCAATGCTTCAGGCTGGTGGCGTGCCCATTTGCTTCTGCACTCGACTGTCTGAGCAGGGTCTGAACCATCTTATTGTCATAAGTCATAAATGTCATAAGTTCCTTGGGCCGACATCAACATTGTCAAGCAGTTGTGAGTCTATGAGGCACCTCTGGCGGCTGGTGAGATGCACCATCCCACCATCCCAATCCCATTGAGCTGAAATGATGAACCACTGTATAATATTGTATAATTGTATAATCATGTATAATGTAAATATATAAACATATATAAACACATTAATAAGGGCAATAATCATCGACCCAGCGGACAAATGCAATCTGTGCTATGTCTGCAGCGATGCAGCTGACCCAGATTCCTCGGATGGCTTGACCATGTCACTTTACAACTCACAGTTGCTAAACGTCAAGGAGAACCATTCACACATAATCGTTCTTTCTACATTGCAACTAGGAGAACAACATTCCACATTGACGGTAGGTACAAATCCCGGGGGAATGTGATGAGGGACTCGACCAACATTGATTTTGAGCACTGGCCGCTCTGTTCGCAGGGCTGCTCTGGTGGCCGCAGGCCGATTTAACGGGAGCAAACTGAAGAGATTGGAAGCAATTCCCAGGTTTTCACCACCACGGTTGGAAGCAATCTCTATAGACATACAACTATACATAGGCAAATGGCCATTAATTCGACGTTGGTACTATGTTTTCAAGTTTCATTACAAAATCACATGTTCGCAAATTCACCTTGTGATTGCAAAGAGGGAGAAACAACTAACTAAACATTGAACCACTTACCAGCATACGTAAGTATACATGAACGATCCTGATTACTAGACGCTTGCATGCGTCAGGAACTGGTTGGTGGCATAGAACATATTTGAAAACCACACATGAAATTATACTTGGGTTCAAATCCATTAGAAGAAAACAAACATTTCCAGATGTCCAAGTCATTTTTAGATTGTTGAATCATGAATCCCCATGTGCATTGGTTAAATGTCCATCATGTCCTTCTGGCCACCTTCGCCTCGCACGAAAACAATGCTGGATTTCAACAGCGGATCGCATGAATTTTGGGCAGTTTTTTTTCCGGGGGAACATGATGACTGGTTGGTGGTTGACCTACCCCTTCTGAAAAATATGACTTCGTCAGTTGGGGTGATGAAATTCCATGAAACTCCCAATATATCTGTGAATATATGGAAAGTCATAAAAGCATATAAAAGCCATGTTCCAAACCAACCAGATGATAAACCATGAAATGTGATCCAAGCTTGGGGGGTTAACAGCTTGAGTGGATCATTTTTTGACGCACCAATGGACCATACTGGACCCCCGATGCTGTTGGGATGTGTGGTTTGGATGAAGTTGGGCTCATCACCCTATGCTTCAAGGAGACACGGATATGAAAATTAACCGTCCAACCTCAACAATCACCATCCAACTCGAAAACCTATCCAATTTTCTGGGCCTCGGATCTTCAGTAGTTTTTACGGATAGATTCACAAAATTGATGTTGCCACACTTAGCGATTTGTGGCAAAGTCAGTGGGGTTTATCAATCCCCAAGTGGTTGGCGGGGTTATCCACGAATCCGCGATGACCACGAATCGCTACGAATTGTGTATCTAAGGGGAGGTTCCCACCCGGTGATGAGTCGGAAGAGCATGTTTGAACGAAGACCTTTATCAGAAACACGTTTAATATGCACGATATACATCGATATACCACAAGTGAGAGCTTTTACCATGTTTTTCCCACCTGAAAAATCCCGAGAATGGGTGTTTTTTAAATCCACAACTTGGATTTGCTTAAGGAACCCACATAGAATAAACCATAATTATTCCCCATAGATTGCCCAACTAGTTGATATCCGATTGGGTAAATCAAAAATAAATAAACATCACCTTAGCTTTAAACAAACCCAAGACAAACCATACCTGCCATGTTTTTCATAGATCCCCGGAGACTCACCTTCACATCTCCACGCCGGCTCGAACGGTTGGACCTGGCAGGTGATGGCAGAAAGGATCACTTTAAATGGCGTTAAGTAGGGTCCCACAAAAAGAGAGGATCTATTTTCAGACATTTTTTGTGACTTTACCAATCCCAATTTAACATCATTTAACTGTAGATGTTGATTCAACTTTGCAATTCTTCTGTGGGAAGCCTCCTGTGATGAGGAACCTGGAAAAAAATCCGGTGCCACGGCCTCTGTGGTTTCAGGGTTGTCATGGGATTTCAACCTCTGCCTGGGTGAATTTTGGGAGATTTTAGAGCCCCTGAAAATTTCCACTGGTGTTTGCCAAAAGATAACGAGAGATCCAAAGGCCTAGACGCTTCAAGTAGCCCATACAAAATGCTAAAAGTACCACAATTTTGCGGTAAAATGCACTTTTTCAACAAACGGAGGGTCTACTTGGGATGTCCAGTTCCAGTGGATATATTTCACCATAGTTATAGAGGTTATACATGGTTGCAGCCCAACTTATTGAAGTGAAATTCAGTTACTAGCTTAGTTGAACCATGTTGAACCCTTGTACCATGGTTATACCATAGTTGTACCTTATACCATACTACTGTGGATGGTTGCGAAATCCTGCACCAGTTGGTAGATGGTAAACATCCAATTATTTATAGGGTTTTAACCATCCTTTTGGTGGTGCAGGATTTCGCAACCATCAACCATCCACAGTAGTAGTTATATATATATAATACCATACTATAGTTGTATAGTTATACTAGTACCTTATACCATAATTATACTTATAACCATAACTTAGTTGTACATCTTATAACTTATACCATAGTTATATATACCCTGCTACCCAGAAAAAATCCTCCCATCCTCGTGTTGCCGGGCGCCTGAATGGTGAGCTGATCCGACCTGGGGCAGTCATCAGTCGTCACCATGCTGTGATTTGGGGTACCAGGACTTAGGAAACCTCCATATGTTCATATATGTTCCTTAATAAATATCACCAATCACAGGAGAAAATATAACATATATATATATCATTAAATCATATAACAAAAAATAAAGATGAAACACATAGGAGAAACAAATTGAACAACTATGGACTGCTAGCGTCATTTTCACCTGTATTTTCCAAAACAGAAACAAGGGGAACCCCTAATTGATGGAACCACTGTCGGGATAGCATCCCAACAAGATAAGCAAAATGGGTTCATCATCCCAAATAAGAGGCACATCAACATGATTATTGAAACCGCAATTTTGTGTAATGGCCGGCAAACAAACATGGTTCCTTCACTGGGATTCCTGAACACAATATTCAAGCCCTCCATGGTGAGACAGCAATGATACCTTCAGAAGTACGTACAAACGCAGCAACACGGATACACTGTTGAGGAACGTTTTAGTTCATTGAAATTTATCAATTTTCATCTTGCAAAAGATGGAAATTGGCACAAACTAATATGGCAAACTATCAGTAGAATCATGACTAATGGTCGAATTGATTGGAATGGTCGAACATGGTCGAAGTTGCTACATAATGGTCTTCACAAGAACCATGCACTGACTAATGGGGGTTTCTCAAAAAAGATGACCAAATCAATTGGATCTTGGGATCCTCCAAACCCCAACAAAGCAAGGAACAAACGGACAACCGCAAGGACCCCTTTTACAAAACTGAAGGTCAGCAACGGTCAGCATCTTTTCTGAACACTATCAACCTCTAACATCCTGTAACTGTCGGAGCCCCCGGTCACAAGACCTCGTTGAGTGCCGCGGTTGCAGCATCCCCCTGCACTGTTCATTCTTGGCTGGATGGAGTTGATACTTTACATCGTGGGATATTCAAACCCTGCACTGATGGCGAACAAATAAACATCAACCAAACCAATGTTGACCTAAAAGGAACAACACACACCACACACATGCCGTGATGATTTTCTGTTTGTTCATCACAGGTCCGCTCATTCCTGAAGAGACAGAAAATCCATTGGTGTACATGTTTGAAATGAGTTGTGGATGAGTTCCTAATTTGTTTCGTGGAAATCATCCCAAAATAAGATAGCACCTGTCCACTTCAACAAATCACCATCTGGAGGACCAAACTATCAACCCTAAAATGGATGTTGTTATATATAATTATGTATATTCAAAAAAAATGCAATTTCTTGGTCACTTGGTACACAAATGACCATGTCTGTGATCAAAATAAATCATTCTTTGCTGGTTAAATCAGCTTAATCCCAATGTTTGACGAAAACATCATTTTGAACATCCCCCTTTTTGTTGGTCAATCAAACAACATTGTTTTTGCCATGTTCCACTATGAGTATGGCAAGCCGCAACCAAACAAAATAACCTCATCACTAAAAGCAAGTTACATCAAAACTGGTCCATGGTTATGGCTCAAAATTACACCAAATGGTTCATACTAAACATAAACTAAGTATGTAGGTCATCTGTGGTCCCCGTCTTTACTTTTGACTCACCCCAAGCTCCGACCCCCGCGCCCAGTCGTGCACCACCAAGAGGTCCTCCGAATATCGAGGAACGGAAGTCAAACAAAAACGATTAAAATCAACGGGACATAAAATGAACATACCAAGTTGTGATATGTATATATATATATGTGATTATACTTATAGACATATAAATATTTATTATATATGATATGATTATATGTCTTTAATATAAACATATATGTATGTACCCATACACTCCATGTCTGCATGGAATATGTGTCAACATTTAACCCAAAAATCACCAAAATGTAGGAGCATGTTTATATTTAAAGATGTATATAGTAAATATATTTTATATAGGTTAATTATACTACCTAGACCCTCCGTTTGTATCTATAATTTTTGCTAGTTGCTCCCTTGATTTGAAGACGTTTCCTTGTTTCCACGGGTACTTGGAGTGCCTATATATATATATCGAATATATATATATATATGATATGATATGATATGATAGGATATGACATGATGTGATATGATATGATAGGATAGGATATGACATGACATGATATGATATATGATATGATATGATATGTATGTATGTATGTATGCATGTATGTACGTATGTATGTATATATACTATATACATGTATACTTTATACCTATAGTATGCTATAGTGCAAATGGAAAACACATAAGCATGGTGACAACATGGTGACAGCATGGTGACAGCATGTGACAGCGCCTTGAGGATGGCGTGCGTTTACTGGCTTTCTGAAATAAACATGCAGTGTGCTGTGGTAAAGAAACCCTTGCGGGAGTCCCGCTTTGGACTGATCGTTCTTCTTTTTTATCGTTGTCAAAGCTTTCTTGAGAGACTCACGGGTTATCAGTAAAATGAGTTTGAACTTAAATGATGTTCACATATACTGCGGCTTATCGTTTTTTCTTCCTTCTCGTTTTTTCAGTGAATGGGCCATATCCAGTACGAAAGGGTTCCTGCTTGTTTTATTTACTTCCAAGGTCCTACTGTTTTTGATAGTTCAGAAAAGACATTTGTTGGTTTTAGAGGCTGAAAGTCATGGAAAGGTTACTGAGGAAGCTCATTTCGGGCAACCCTTGCAGCACTTTAGGCACCTTTTTCTGCCTCGGCTTCATGCGGGTTGCATTTTAAGCTTGGAAGTTGGAACAAAGTGTTCCTAAGCCCTAGGCATCAAGCACGTGTGCACATGCAAGTAAACATCCAGTGGCGTAGCATCAAGTACACGTGCAAGGGAATGCTATTAGCCCACCCCACCCCACCCACACCCCACCCCACCCCCGCACGCACGCCACACCATAAACTAATATTATTCTATAAACCAACCAGTTTTGGATCGTAGGCCATCCCCTTTCAAGTGTTGAATCTTCCAAAACGGTCACGCTTCAGCAAACCATCTCGTGTTTGGGCGGGTTTGATGCAAAACGATTTTGTGGACCATCTCAATCATCTTGATTCCATGAAGGAACCCTGCTCACAACAAAGCGAGCGCCACCCGAAAGTCCTTCATGCCCCAATCTCTCCGCACATCTTCCGGGGTGTTTCTTTTTCCACACATCACCTCACGCTCTTCGCCGTGGGCTGCGTATGGTGGACAGAATCCGCAACATCAGGATGGTCTAAAACCAATGTAATAATTATACTACATACCACATTTTTGGGGATGAATCTCTGTTAAGAATTACAGTATTTATAATTATCCGTTATATATATATATACTTTATACCCATTTATAAACAATCTTGGAGTTCACTAGGTTACGGGGATTTTGATCAAAACCGTCTGGGGGCCGCGCGATGAATCGAGGGGGTTGAACTCGCCTCTCTTCACCTCAGTCATATCGGATCCTGCAAACATGGCGGTATGATGTATGCAATGTGGCCATTTCTTTCATTTTCTTTCGCCTAAACCAATGTTTACAAATGATTCATCGACATGTCACTCTGACATCCCATGGGCATCGCGGAAAATTGCCGCTACTCATCTGCGATGATCATCTGCGATGATGCAACAACTTCCATCTTTTTGGGATTCGTTCCTACAAAAAATCTGCCATAAATGGATCCAAAAAAAACATAAAAACCCTTCATCATCCACATCATCCCTGTCAAGCCACAGAATTTTCGAATTTCCGCCGCATCCTCTTTGTGCTTCGAATTCCTCAGAGCTGTTCGTTACAGGGTTCATTGCTGTGATCAGTACCTAGTACCACAACAAGTACCGTAACCGTAATAGACCCTTTGATCCAACTTGCATCGCGTGATCACTGCCAAAAACCCTACTGTCTTCACATGCAACAAGGGGCAAACCATCAACAGGCATTTGCAGCAATACTGAACGGATATGAACGGATTGAGAAATCCGTGGGGTAATGGCAACATGACAGAACCACAACCCCACTGGTCGCAAGAAGGGCCTTTTAGAGGACGACAATTTCAGTTCTACAACGGCTCACTCAAAAAAAACAATAAAAAACATGAGTTGTCTTAAACCACTTGACTGGGATATGGCATTCCCAAAAGCATGATTTCTGTTCGCTACTAGACTGCCGAATGGCCTGAGCGACTGGGTGCCATCATCCCAAATAAACCTGCCTTCTTTAGGGATATGTCTGATGATTTAGGGGAAAACACCCAAATTCCAATGGATTGTCATTTTCCCCATTAAATTACCATGTTGGGCGTATTCCCCAACCTTTGGACCAACACAAATTCCTCTTTGTTCAATTTTGTTCACCTTTGTTCTTCAACAAAATGTCTGAGGGTCAATCTCTTCCCATGGTCGGTTTTCAAAGATCCACCAATATCAATTATTTCTTTTCGCCTCACTTTTGGGTCAATATCCCCAATTTATTGTTATTTTATTCTTCTTGCGTGACATAGGTTTTGCATACTTATAGTTAACCACCTCATTACGATATAACTATGGCAATCCTATAGGTCTCTGCCCAAATCCTACCAGATGATGGACCTGTCTCACTGGATGTTTGGGAGTTTGTTCAGCTTGCGCCATGGGAAATCATCAGCTTTGGCCTCCCCCTACTATTGGATGGTGACTCTGCGTGGTCTTCGCCTTTCTGATCAGCTTCCTCTTTTGTTCATGGGCTTCGCTTTGCCTATTCTACTTGGGTTGGCTGGTGGCCTGCTAGTTCAAGCTTTGGGCAATCCGTCAAATCCATTTTTGGGATTCCCTGCTGACACCGGGGGAACTCCACTCTTGGTTGGCGCTGCTGTTGTCAGAGCTATAGATCCAGATAACACGGTAAAGCGATGGTGTGCTACCTTGTTACTTGTCCGTCTGTCTCGGAAAAAGTGTCAAAATTGACTCTGCTCATCACCTGTTGCTACAAGTGTGGGCTCGTGTCACACATATCATGGCCTACAAGGCTTGGGAATTTCGACTTCACAGGAGCCTCTTGCTGGGTCATCGCGTTTTGCCAGACAAGGTACGATTTGCATCAGTTTGCCATTCTGGATGATGCAGGATTGGTGTCATTGAGTCAGCAGTTTCTGTCCTGCCTCTTAATGGCGGTTCGTCGATGTTCATCTGCATCCGCAACCCGCGAGACTTGGGCCCAGGGGGGCACTTCTGGGTTTTTCCCTTTTTTCCCCAAGTACCAACTTGCTTGGGCCCTGCTGGCACAATGCTGGTGGGAAAATTGCTCGACACCTTTCAGCGGGCAATGAAGTAACAAATTCTGGCCACCGTGGGTTACTCATGCTAATGCCCCCTTTGATATGTGTACAAAGCAGTCTGTTTGGCCGGTGGTTGATCCACCACTGGCTTTGTCCGTTCGGCTCTGCTACCGCTGCCGAGCCAATGGAAGTAGGGAGTTGACCTCTCTGCGAAGTGGAACATGGTAATCCTATGCCATAAAGAAATCATATTTATCCTGGATAGAGGTGGTAATGCTGAGCCATGGTAATCCTAATGATAAATAACCATAATAACCACCACCATCCTGCCCACCCCCTGACCTCGATCCGCCCCGTGGGGGGCCAGCACCGGACACTGAGCACCGGACATGATGGCCACCGCCACACGGGCGTCGGCCACCATTCTTTCCTGGATGTAGCTCACCCAGGGCCTCGAAGCGATCCAGAGGCCATTCTTATTGGACACAGAAACTACAATTGAATTCATACAACTAGATAATACTACATACATTGTGTGAGAACAATCACACACACACACTTGGGGATGGATCAATGCTTGTGTGGATGGGTCATTGCCAGGGATGAATATCTACTTACATCTATCTAAGTCTATCTACATCTATTTACCATCGATTTTGATTTCACCATGCTACCAGGCTCGTGACTCCATGCCCAATTCAAGCATCATCCACACGAAAAAACGAATCAAATGATTCAGACCCAAGATGTAAACCATCGTTTCTATCTCCTTCTTGAATTCCTCACAAAAATGAAGGCTCTTCCAGCGCGGCTTCCTGGGGAACGGACCTCCCACCACCACCCTTTGGACTGGGGAAACCTTGAAACGTAATCCCTGGCAGCGCACGCGTAGCGCCATGGCACTGACTCGATGAGGTGAACATCAGGACCATTTTGCAAGACATGTTGTTTAGTTTTCCCATTGAAACATGGGGCTTAGATGGGCTTAGGGCTTTCCTCTAAATGTGTGTGTTATATAATTATATATTTATCCAATTCCAGGACAATAGTATCGTGACAAGCGCCCGCTCTAGACTCCCTAGACGTTGTCAGTGAGCTAGCTAAGCTTCATAGTAGTACGACTTTCTCTTCCCTCAAAGGAACAACAAACGCGCCCTGAAGTTCATTGAACAGCACCATGGAAGCAACCAAAAAGTCGACGCGCAAAATGAGTTCCTACACAGGAGTTCAATTTGTAAATAAGAACATAGTTGGATCCACCAGCTATGATTACATGTTCCATCAACCAATGGTTGACTGATGGTTGGTGGCTTGAAACCCGAAATCCCATGAGGGGAGTCATCCCCATTCATGCAGTGACTTTATATGTGGCCATAGATCGAACGCCTGCTACTCTGCTGTTCACATCATACATCATGATACATCATGATACATCAAAGTAGAACAACTTTATGGATATTTATGGATGATCAATTCCCCAAATAAAGACATGTGTTGTTTTTGCGGTTCTTACAAAGATATGTGTCGTTTTTGAAGTTCTGACCCATCCCCACATCAAACCACTCTAACACCCATACGTTTTCCCATGCCTCTTTCAGTGTTCAATCTGCTGGTCCTGGGACGCTGCACGTGTCTCCTTTGATCCAGGAGCTTGAACCTAATTTTTAGAGAAATTGGTCACCCAGGAAGAATATCTGATGTTCCATTGGGATACTAAAGCATATTGAGTTACGGTACAGTATATTCCATTAATTATATTCCATTACATTCATCCATGTCTTAGAAAAAACCCAAAAAACAACAAGAATCGAGTCATCATCCCACAGTTGCCATTGCAGTTTTCATTTTGAGCCCCCCCTTTGACAGTTCCAACGAAGGTAGTTGGCATCGTGTCTCCGCACTTGGAAAGCACCCAGTTTTGGTGAGGACATTTGTTGCTGCACGGTGCATCCCTCTTTCATACTGATTCCATGTTAAGCCAAGCTCAGAATATAAAACAACAAATAAATTTGCCTGATAACCATGCGCCACTGTCAAGGCATTTTCCACCACTCATTGCTAAAAGAACCAGTGATGGGGCTTGGAACAGCTCAGCCCGGTTTATGTCGCCAATTTTGAATCGGTACATGTGTCGGGTCTGTCCTCATATTCAAATCTTTGACAAATTCCGGGAAACTCCCAACGAAGACAGATCCAGGCATCAGGCGACCAAGGGGCTGAAAGGCTTCTGGGTTTCCATCCACCCAGACCTGGCTGTGCTGCAGCCCGGCAGCCCTGAAATTTGGTGACATCCAAACGGTAAAATCATGTCTAAGCTGGTCTATTGGTCTATGTATCTTGGATCAAGTAGTTGGTTTGAGTACTTGCCAATTTGTCTGCTTATATCAACTGCAGTTACAACACTTTGAGCAGCGGTACAATATCTAGTCTATATAATTTTGATTAATTTTGTATACATACATCTCTACACATACCTGATTTACTTACTATGTATCTAATCTGTCGATACCCCTCTGGCTCTCTCTCCTCCTCTCTCTGTCTCTATACTTCAACACTGACCGAGTCTCCGGGCAACGGTGGGTTTCACCCCAAACACCTCAAGAGATCGCTGCTCCCCTTAAAACATCATTTCCAAGAAAGTTCCAAATTTGTTGTCATATGTTCAAAAAAATCTTGTAGCAGGAAACCATGTTGTTTCCAAGTTTTTACTTTCCCCGTAAACCAATTCTGGGGCTTTAGAAGATACAGTACTTCAAATACATATACATAGCAACAACAAAATAACAGCTGTCTGGTTCATGCGGGATCATCCTCCCAGGTAGGAATGTGTTTTTCATACAATTATAATTATAATACAAATAAAGAACACTGTCAATAAAATAAATCATAATAACACTGAAACAATAATAACAACAATATTCACACCATTGTTTGCAATAGTAATAGTAGTAAGAATATTAACAATAATGATGATCATCATAATAACAGTAAGAACACACGCACATATATATATATATATAATTATATGTACACATACAATATGTATATGATGACATGCTGATGCATTGCATTTCTATCTTTCGCTCGCCACAGGCCTTAGGATGTGCTGCGGGTTTTGCAGCAGGTTTTGCAGCTGCGCTGGGGCCACTGGGGTAGCCGCCTGGTCGGGCAATGCTGCTCGGTCAAGCCACGGTCTTGATGGAAACGAGTGATATGGGCTTGTTTGAAAAGGAGGGATACTTCCGAATCCTTGTTTTGAGGAGAACATCATGATTGCCTGCGATGATTTTGGGGTACCATAACTTTCAGACAAAACCAGATTGTGCGAACAAGATGTGGATAATGGGTCAAGATGGGGTACACCAAAATGGGATGAATTTCTACTGAACTAGACCTGTCCACCTGTGTTTCCCTGGGTTTCAATTATGAATACAAATGTTATCGTCTTAATACTGATTGTTTCATAGGTGTTCCCATTGTGTTTTCTACCGATCCCTATGCAACCAGGTGGTGTAACCTACTATATTGACAACAAAAAAAAGGCACCGTACAGTAATAATTCTTAATTCTTACTGCTTCACTTGAGAGAACAAAATGTGGAGAAGTGACCTTGCTCCAGTTTGTCTGAAAATGGTGATGCCCCTATTGGATTATGATAATCCCCCATCTATTGGGTAGTTTTTTTATCCCCTACATTCATCAACCAACAGGGGTTTACACTGCTCCCTTGTCATAAACCATGGGATTTGCCTCCTGCAACCACAGTGGCCGCTGCGGCCGGCGCCGCTGGCGGGGAAGGGACTGCTGGGACTGCCGGGACTGCCTGAGAGGCCGGTGGTTTTTGACCCATCCCCAAGATATTCGTCATCAAACATCCCAAGTCTGGTTGAAAAACAATGAATATGTGAAACCAGCAACAAGTCTTTATAGTGGCTTATCTGATTGAATTATTGTATATTGTGGGTTTCGAAGAACGCCAAATGCAAACCTTCAGAAATGGGCACATACCAAAATGAACCAACATAATTAAGGAAACTATTGGTGTTTTTTGAGTATGCCTTTGAACTGTCCAAATCCACGCTACACATCTTCAAGTTACATATCTAAGACAAATGCAGAAACAACAACTAACACATGAGCAGGTCTATCACACTTACAAGTATATATATATATAATATCTCTTTTGCCTGATTATATATTATTATATTTATTATGTGTATTTATGTATGTAGGTAGGTATGTATGTATGTATGTATGTGTGTGTATGTATGGTATGGTATGGTATGGTATGGTATGGTATGGATGTATGTATGTATGTATGCATGTATGTAATTTATTATGTATGTATGTAATTAATTATGTATGTATGTATGTATGTATGTATGTATGTATATATATATGTATGTATGTATGTATGTAATGTATGTAATGTATCTAATGTATGTAATGTATCTAATGTATGTAATGTATGTAATGCATGCGTGATGCATGTAATGCATGTGTGATGCATGTAATGCATGTAATGCGTGTAATACATGAAATTATTACAATTAAATATATATATATGCATACATGCATGCATGCATGTAGGTTGGTAGGTATATATCTAGGCATGTTGGCACGTACGGATCTAGGTAACCAGGTATCTTGGCTTCTAGGTATCTAGGTATCCAAATGTATCCAAGTATCCATGCATGTAGGTATGTAGGCATGTGGGCATGTAGGTATGTTGGTATGTAGGCATAGATGCATGCATGCATGCACACATATAAGAGCAAATGCAAGGCAATGTCGTCCAGTGCCATGTTATATGATTTGGTGCTATGTTATGTGATGTGATGTTTTATTATGTATGGATGTGTATATATATACACATACATATCACGTGTGAAAGATCAATAAGTAGATAAATGGATACATAAGTTTCCTATTGAGCATGGTGATTTTCCACATTTTTGTTTACCCCATGGTACATATATAATCATCCAGGAGTAGATAGAACCCGGAATAAACATCACCAACATTGGAATCTGTAAAAAATAAACCACACATGTTCTATCTACTTCAGAATGATGGTATAAAATTGTATATAATATATACCCTCTGGTAATTTAACATAACTATTGAACATGGCCATGGGCCATAGACATAGTTGATTTACCCATTAAAAAAAAACTTTTCCATAGTCTTTTGTACCTGAAAAGCTCGGCTTGGGATTCCCTTCACTGAATCATGATTCCGATGTCACTACGTGAGGTTACTTTATATCATGAACATACATATGCTATGGTGTCTTTATCAAGTTGAATAGTTGCTATATAGGTTCGACCCCAATAATCCCCGATCGATACCCTTCCACCCCGACGCCCTCCACAGCAGCTTCCGCCCGCTATTACCACTACATTATGTATAAAATATTGTTATAGATACACTTCGATATACCATGGGGTAGACAAACATAGATGTGGAAAATCCATGAACATCCATTATTTGTTGATCATTGTAAACACTTAAATACACTTTTTACATGATGAATCTTAGATACCAGCCCCAAAAACGATGTTTTAGCTGGTTGGTACATTTTACATCATTTTACCATTGGCAAAAGATTAAAGTACTAAACTAACCAAGGGGTTGACCCAGTATACACCATATGCTCTCTGTATCTGCAGCTGTTCCCCCGATTCCCCGCCTTTGGCACAGCGGGCACAATCACCGTGGCCACG